AAAGGAAGGAGAGAGAAACAAAGATTATTCTCTTCCCTCGTTTGGGAGTTAAAATCTTTCAAATTTGAAGAACTTTAATTTTGAGAAGAAGGATTTTAGAGGAATTTGTGAAAATTCCTAAATTCTTTCCCTCATTTTTTTAAACTTACATACAAGGAAAAAAATTAATAAAATCTAGGGGTGTTCGCGGTCTGGATTGTATCGGTTTTGGAAGCAAAAATCATCCGATCCGATCCCTTCGGTTTGATCATGTAATTATCCATTCCGTTTGGATTTTTTTTGAAATCCGATCCAATCCAATCCAATTTTTTCGGTTTGGATTGGATCAATTTTTTGAAAATCCTAAAATTTATTTCATGATTATTGTGCAAATAACATCTTTTGTATATATTGACTTTGTAAATTTATTTTTTTGAAATACAAAAGCAATAATATAATATTTTTTGGGGCAATGAGATATGAAGCTCTACTTAAATAAAATTTTGTTGATGAGATGTGATTAGGCTTTTTCTTGAGTTTAGTTGATGGGTTAATGGATCTTGGGTTTAGATATTTTTGCGCTATGATTGGGGAAAGACCCAAGTAGGTAAAGGGGAATTAATATATTATATCGGTTTGGATCGGTACGATTTTCATCGACCAATCCGAAAACCGATCCAATCCAATTAAAATTTACGATTTTTTTTTCGATTTTCGATTTATTCGGTTATTGATTTTTCGATTCGGTCACCGCCGTTTGAATCGATTTGGATAGATTGATAAATATCCCTAATAAAACCCTTCTTTTCTTTTTCTTTTCCTCTTAAAACTAATTCTCAAACAAATCCTGAGTCTCCCACTCATTCATGGGAAACTAATTCCATGATCATTTTCTCTCTCTTTCTTTTTTTTTCTCTCGGCAGCCCGCGGAGTGCACTATATATTTGCTCTCATTCCTGAGATAGAAAAAGTTACACGTGTCTCTTCAAGATAATCATCTCTAATTTTTTAAAAACTAGCAGTCCATTTTAATATTTTATTTTGTCGATTAGCAAATTGGCGGATCCAACAAATTTGAATTTTAATCATTGAAGATGAGTGAAAAGGAAGTTGGTAGGTAATGCACTTTTGATTTCTAAATGCCATATGCCACTCGGATAAATACAACGTCTATTTTTTTAATATATTATTTCTCATTCTATTGTGTATTTAACGTTTACTAAGAATATAGAATTATCTTTTCTACTATACAGACTACAAGAAATTTGCTTACAGTTATCATAGATGCTACAAGTAATTTAAAATGCTATAAATCCTAGGAAATTTGCTAACTCAACTGTTAATTCATAGACTTAATTGTCTTTTTTTGTAAATAACAAAACTTATATTTTTAAAAATAGAAAAAATATCTTTGTAAAATTTAATATCGGAGATGAGAAAATTTTACTCACAGATTGCGATAGTTGTTTGAATATCTTTGTCATGTAAACGTACGTAGTGAAAAAATGCTTCATAAAGTTTTGTTATATGAATATGTGATCCAGAATAAATTAGGATTTTTTGTATTATATTAATTGATATATAGATTTGATAATAATTATGATATTTAAGATATCAATATTCTTTTATTTTTAGAGATTTCGTCTTTAATAAAATATATATTTTAAGAAAGTTTATATTAAGATTATGTATTTAATATCTAGAATTTTTATTATCTTTTTAGTTATAAATATCATTTAAGTGACTTAGGTGATTTGGAATTTTGCATTATAGATAATTGTTATTTCCTTTTGCATAGTATATCTAAAACTTGAATCAGATGAATACTACGTCACACTCTAAGTTTAGAGTAAATATCTTTTGAGTCTGTTATCAAAAAAAATATATATATATCTTTTGAGTCTCTAACAAAAAATATTGTCCCCACTTTAATCTCCCATAAAAAAATTACTCTTAAAATATCTAAGAAATTCAAGATGGACTCATTTAGTTGAAATCGTGGTCTCTCACAAATTCAAAAAAGACCTATATTAGTACCTCAAAAGGATTAAAATAGGTCCAACTTGAATTTCACAGGGACTAGATGACTAATTTTTTTTTAAGAGACTAAAGTGGAGACCATATTTTTTGTTAGGAGCTCAAAAAAATATTTACTCCTAAATTTATCATCGAGTAACATTTGAAAAAGAGTATTCTTAATTTATCAGCCAGGTAGTGGCGGAGCCACTTGAAAAGCACCACCTAATTTTTTAAAATGGTATAGATTTTCTTAAATTTTTTTTGATGAAGCCTTTATATTAGTTGGATTTTTAAAAACAATATAACTTTGGCACAATCTAATTCTACTGGCTGAATTTTTTGGTACTACCTAGCTTTTTTCTCTAACTCCGCCACTGCAGCCAGAAGAATATTCACTTGTAAATTCTCCTACTTCATTATAGCATTAGGATCAAAAAGTTGACGTTTATACTGAAATTATCATTATGCTTTTATAGTTAGTTAGATGCTACTTAAAAGTTTATAAAAAAAATTGCCACCGAAGTTTCTAGAAGTGCCATGTAATCATTCATGTCTAATGCATATGCGGCAAGGAGAGTTGGACCTAGGAGAGAATTTATTGTGGTGCGGCACCACTATTTTTTTGGGTGGTTCTTTAATGTAAATGAAAGGATAAAATTAGAAAAGAAGAAAAATAGCAGGGGTAAAATAAGAAAGAAAAAAATTAGTATTATGAAAGGAAACACCAAATCATTAAGTGGTTCTGAAGCATATTGAATATTTCCTGGACCTAGATTCGAGTTTTGGTCCAGAACAGACAACTTATAAAAGAAAATATCTTTAGTAGTAGGTAGTATTAAAAATTAGATACATCTGTTACTAAATTTGGCAAAAAGTAATAGAATTAATTTTTCTCATTTTACCCATTTTTTTTATGGTTATTGACATTTGATTAGTCCAATATCTATTAAACTGAATCACACACTGTTGAACCTAGTATTATTGGTGAAAATCTTAATTGGGTTGTACTTTGCGAGATATTTAGGTTGTTGATGGGATTCTCAACGAGATAGTTGAGTTGGTGTAGAAGTGTTAAGGTAGTTTGAGCAGATTGGGAGGTAATCTACAAAGCCCTCTGATATTCAAGTCAGTTTAAGTTCAAGATATTCACATAGTGGTGGATAGATGATCATACATGGGTTCAATACATCTATATTTATAGTGGAAAGGAGTCTTGCTTATGTTGCATTTGTATGGCAATATTCATTACTATAAGTGGAGAATGATAGCTTTCACAGACTACGTTGTGGGTGATATGCGTATAATGAGGCTAAGCCCTTGTAAATGTCGCAACATGCATGTGTGATCCTTTATTCATTAGTTCATGTGGTGGTCAAGTTGTTCTGAGCAGGTGATAACGCAAGATCCTCTTGTATGAGTTGGTTACGTGTGCTAGGAAGTTGCGAGATCCTTACATTATTCAGAATGAATGCGTTTTTCTTCTCAGTAAGTAATGGTCTTATGGACTTATTAAACGTATGTCTGGTTGTGCATACTATTTCGTGATTCAAATCAACACTTATGTCTCACTTTTTCCTAAGTAAGGGAATACATACCTACCTAGTACCAAAGATATGCTCCATACAAAATAATACACTTACTGATTATGTCATGTTACATATTTTAGTTTATATATTTAAATACATAAGGTTTCCCTATAATTGTCATACACTTTATTTCTACTTTCTAGCTGTTGGAAGCAATAAAACAAAGCAATACCTGTAAATCTTAAGTGTTATTAAGGGGGAATTTGTGCCAAACAAACATCATTCTAATGCAACAATCAGCGAAAGTTATAATTCCAAAACACTGCAATTAAACTTTAGGGGCTTCTTTGAAGGAAGGTCTGATGAAAAATAATCTTGACACTAATTTATTATCCATCATCATCATAATTGCAGCTAGCTATGCATTGATTTCATGATAACCATGTGAGCCCTTGATCAAATGATCATAGACGACTGGGATATAAGCGCAATACCTGCCGGCCTTCGTTTTTGTTGCCTGTCAAGCCAACTTTCATTTCATTATTGTCCTTTATCCTTTTCTTAACATAAATCTAAAACTATACATTAATACGACAGCTTTTCTAGTGGTATATATACCTCACACAACTCAAATGCAGTTTCTTAACTGTACAAATATAAATATTGAATAGAATTGGTAAAGGATATGGCCAGGGGAAACTTGAACAAGGAATTGGTTGTGGGCTTATGTTTGTATTTACCTCCTCTAAAGTTTCATACATTAATTTAGTTATGTTATTCTTATGTCATGTACTATACAGCACTTGTATAGTTGTATACCTGTGCAAATAAAACATCTATTAGACTTATTTAAAATTAAGTAGAACTACTTACACGCACCAGCTATTCAGGTGCACCTGTATGTGTTCAAAAAGTATTTATCATTTAGAGATTATACATCCATTAACCCAAAGAAATTAATTAATATAAAAAGTTAAGAAATTTTAAAATGAAATGGTGCAACAAAATTAAATTTCAATTATTAAAAAATTAGACAATTAATGGTTGATCCGTTTTCCACTGCCAAGACTTGGCTAATACCTCTCCACAACCATTTGCTATATTAAGTTTGAATCAACCAACCACCTTAGAATGAAGAGAAGGATGTAAAGGACCTTTCCATCTTGACAGCTTAGAGAAATTCACGGAGCCGTCCCCATATTTGCATGAATATGTTTATTACAAGTAATGCATTTGGTGCTTAAAAAATAAACAGGTTTCTTCATTGCCAAATAACAGCTAACGCAACCCCCAAACACTGAACTTCAGTAATCTTTAGTATCTGTACCCAACTGTTTAGAAAGAGAACTGTGTAGAAATACTCCAAAAAGGGCCAAAACAAAAAAATTATTTGAACACTCCCACCACCCCCCCAAAAAAAAAAAAGAAATGGCTCTGAAGTCGATTATTAACAATAAATAAAAGGCCGATGGAGAATGCATAAAGAGAGAAAGCGAAACGTTTATATGTAAAGTCACAAAATGCGGAAATAATTGCATTACATGTTACCAACTTGGAATGGTAATATCCATTATAAAGCTAAATGGACACAATGTTATTATGTGTAGTAATAGCACAAATTCCTCCTACTCATTGTAGTATAACTAGGCCATATGACATTCTACATGAACTTCACTTGCGTGCTTCAGCCTTCTTCTGCTCTTTGGCTGAAACAGATATATTCATTAGTATCAAGATTTTGGATATGAAATAGAGTAGTAAGCAACACGAACAGTATTTAGAGCTTACCAGCTTTCTCTTCTTCTCGCTTTTTAGCAGCTTCTGCCCTTTGCTCACGTATAAGAGCTAAACGTTCTGAATGACAAAGAAACTAAACATTAATCATCGGGAAATGAAAGCCCCTCATAACAGAACATTTCTCGTTGCGAAGCATATTTTATTTCATTCAAGTCATACAGCTTAGTAGTTACCAATCAATATATAGTTTACATGTCATAATATCAAACTTAAGGGTGAAAAAGAAAAAGAAAAAGATGTACAAAAGCACATAATTAGAGGTAATGTTTCAATAATGTTTCAAGAGCTACAAGTACCTAAATCTTTCTTTGCTTGTTCTGTTTTTCCTTGCTCTTGCAGTCTCATATAACGCTCATGAGCTCTCTGTTTCTCTAGTTCCTCTCTGCAAGCACCAGGGAAAATTGAAAGATATTCAGAAAACATATTGACAGTTTGACACAAAAGTTACACCTTCAATATTTCCCCATTATGGAACCAAATGAATTAGACAAAAAAGAATGTTCTGCTCCCCTCTAACAGCAAGCAACAGCCCCTTTAAGTGCAGAAACATATAACTCCCTTTAAACAATAAGCAAATGAAAAATAGCAAACCTTTCACGCCTTGAAAGTTCAGTTGTTTTCTCAACCTGCTTCCACAAGAAAATAGCATTATTCTTTGCGTATAATTTAATTACTATAAAGATGTCTATGTAAGGACCAAATACATAAAGTTGAACTCACATCAAGATCTCTAGCTTTCAAGCTCTTTGGCTTTACCAAGTTAGGATTTTCAATCTCAATAATCCCTTGAGTTCCTTTGTTCTTCTGCATACATTATATAGCAACAAGACATCAATTTCATATTGATGGCGGCAGACCATAGAACAAAACCTTTGGAAAAAGAAGAAGCAATCCATCTATACTAGTAGTAATTGTGAGATACTAACTGCAGTTTCTTCTTCAGATTCTTCTCCAGATTCATCCCCAGATGCTTCCTCAGTTTCTTCCTCTTCATGCTCAGCTTCTTTCTAATAAGGTTGTGAAGAGAATGACCGTGTAAAATAAGGTAAAAGATATAGAGAAACAGAAAACAAATTAATACATCCATATGCATATAAAAAAGAATTGTTACCATAGATACTCCATACAAACAAAACTATTCTGTGTGTAAATGATCACATGCATGTGTGCTTGAGAGACAAGAGATAAAGGAAGCAGAAGAAAACCTGTCTAAAAGTTCGAGGACGGTTAGAGGTTCCAGCAACTGCAGTAATCAAAAGAAACATTTAAGTTTTCTGAGGTGCTTACACCATTTTTCTGTTTCTTTTCATCAGAGAGGGGGCAAAAGGGTGTTGACATCAAAAAGAACTTTTACGCAGGCTAAATTTCAAAATTAGAGAACTGAAATATATTTTAACTAATTCCTCCATATAATAGTTTGAGACTGGACCAGACCTATGGTGAGCCGTAAGAGTCACGACAAGATAACAAGCATTCAAAACATAAAGATACTGGAAAGGGAAAACAACAGACATTGAACTGAAATAGTCTTTTAAATGCAATCACAGGGTAGAACAAATACAGGTATTAAACAAGCTCTTCCTCGCATTTCCTTTGTCAAACCAACTAACAGGTGAGAAAATTGTCAGATCAACTAAAACTTTCTAGAACTGGTTAAGGTAACTTGCTTTCAGTCCCTATCTGATTCATCAGTCCCACATCAACAACCCAAGCCTTTTCTCCCCAATATAATCCATTTTTTAAATGGTTAACAAGTCTTTAAAGAAAAATGAATTGTATCAACAAAACAGCTTGTTCAAGTTCTCTTTTCTTTTTTTCATCTCTACTAAACCCACCAACACGACAAAGATATCTGTATGTTTTTTTTTTTTTTTGATAAACCACATGTATTCTTTACGGGAACAAATCCTCTTTGAGCCGGGAATATCCACATCATAGCGGGGCTAGCTCTCCCAAAAGACATTGTTTAAGAGGAATCAAGCATGTAACACTTGAACCAACTCCCTTTAATAGATATCTGTATGTTTTGATCTATAGCCCAAACAGAAACACACTGGGACCATAGACAGCAAAGTTTCAATCCCAGCAAATTGCCGATGCATTACTACTTTGGTTATTATATATTTTCCTGTAAATCTAAGGTCCTAACTATGTCAATTTCATCTGTAACGCAGTTTGAAGCTTCCCAAAAGAATCAAACAAAAAAACACAAAACTCAACAACTAAAGCTAAAAGCAGTAATTTGAATTCAATTCAAACAAGAAGAGATATTTAGAAAGTTTCCAAGCAGGCAGTCTCTCTCTCTATCTCTATCTCTCCAGATCTAACAATTCCAACAAATTTCACTTTCACACGAAAACAGTTCCGCAGCACCCTATTCCATTCTATTACACTAAGGCATAAAAATAATAAACACTATCCATTTTAGCTGAAAATCATATTTGGAACAAAATAATTGGATTTAGATGATGAGAATACCCACGTAGAAAAAGGCAATAGCAATTGAAGTATGACGCCAATTAATCGTAGGAAAGACTTAAAATTTTTAAGGGCAATCAGAAGAGGGGCTTACGCATATCTTCCGGTGTGGAGAATTGGCGGCGACCGGTGGGCTTGCTCTTGAATTTTCCCCTTCCCATTGTCAATCACACCTACGCTACGATCCTCGAATCAAATTCTCCTTCTTTCTGCAAATTTCCGAGGATAAGAACAAAAGGGGATGATGCACTTTCACTTTATTCCAAATTCCAAAAACCCTAGTCAAACTCCACACAGATTTGGATGATTGACTTTTCCTTGTTTTAAATATATGTCTTGATCGGATCCAGTTAAGTGAAAATGTTTGGGATAATACAAATGGACCTAACAGGCCCATGTTAGCAGCCCAGTAATATACGACGCCGTTTTGACCTTCAAGCTAAAACCTAAAATCCTCTTCTTTTTTTCCTTGCCCTCACTGTAAGTCCCACACTCTCTGAATTCAACGAGTATCGAAGCTCAGGTATTGAATTGAATTTACTTGCTTGTATCACATTGCTACCAGTAAGTGTATACCTTTTTTTTTCCCTCCTAATCTTGCATAGGCTTTTGAAATTTTTGATTTAATTGTACTTTAAATTGTAATTGAAAAAAAATTGTTTGATTGAAACTTTTTGACCGGTTGCCAAGAAATTTGATAACTTTTCGCCTTCAACTTGATTACCTGAAAACTTGTTTTATCTATTTTTGTTTGGGGTTTTATTTTATTTTTTTAAGACCAGAATGAAATTCAATTTTTGTAGCCTACCAAGTGTTTGATAAAATGTGTGTGGTGGTGATGAGGTTGCAAATTGTCAGGAGATGAAGAAAGGAGTGCACCCACAGAAGCAATGGATATCTTATGTTACACAAACGGGTAGATTGATGCATGTCATGATGACAAAGATACACCCAGTTGGTAAAGTCTACCACTTCCGAGCTAAGCGTCAAATGGCCGAGAGTTTAGGGCAGATTGCCAAGTTCAAACGTCGTTTCGGGTTAGAAAATCAAGGCGGCAATGAAAAATGAACTGTTCAACTACTAGAGGGAAATTTGGTTTTTTATTTCATGCTAGTTCGTGGAAAATAACAAGACAATTGGTGGTATTCTGAAGCAGGTTTTTTTTGTAGCCTTCAATATATCTAGTTAAACTGCAGAAATGTTTCCTTCTTCATTTCGTTCTAAGTGATGTCCTTAGCATTTGACCTTTGCTTGTGGGTTATATTAAATACAAGTTGGGGTTCCTTGTTAGCACTTTTGGACACTATTAACATATACAGAAAAATTGATGTTGGGGACTAGGATACGTGATGTTTATGTTGAAAGATCAATAACTGCTTTAAATTGAATAAATACATCCAGTGATTATTTGGTCCTTTAGCATGTCGGAAACAGGACGTACCATCAATATTCCCATCCTTTTAATTTGTTTACATGTTTTGTTTGTGTGGTTGGCTCTCTACTGTATGCATTATTGTCTGTTTATATGTTTTTAAGCTCAGGAACGTAATTATGCGAGAACGCTTTCTACTTGTACACCCGTTTATTTTACTTGGAAACTCTATACTTGAGACATGAGAAAAGAATAAATTTGTGTCTTATATAGCACAGGATAAACTTTTCAGTAGCAGAATATTTTTGTCTTCTATCGAGTCACATTCAGCTATGTGGCTATCATCAATATGTGTATCTCACATACTTAATGCTTTTTATTTGCGTAGTGACTTTCAAAATTTTAATACTTTATGAATCAAGATTTGAGCAGACCATGCAGCTTCTGAACCAAATCATCCACATAAGAGTTTTCCAGCTCCTTACTGATCAAGAACTCCCTCCATTTAGCATGATTGGTTTTCACTACTTGACCCACTTCACTGTCATTGTCCATTGCGGCTCTTACTACCTTGCACACAGCTTCCCTGGTAAATAATCCATCTTCACTTTTCTCAACCTCTACTCCTACTTTCAAATCTCCACTCATTATTCTTGCATTAATAAATTGATCTCCTGCGTGGGGTAGCAGTACCAATTGACACTCATTTACCATGGCCTCTGTTAATGACCCAGACCCACAATGAGTCACAAAGCAACCCACAGATGGGTGGCTCAAGATCAATTGCTGCTGAACCCATTCTCCATAAACCACCCCTCTTTCTTTTGTTCTCTCCTTAAATCCTTCTGGCAAAGCTGACTCCACTGTTTCAGCTCCAATAGGGGGCTTCAAGGCGGCTAGAAAAGGCATTTCTGTAAGTTCAAAACCCAATAACAGTTCCTCAAATTGATTACTCTTCAAAATGCATTCGCTTCCAAAGGCACAGAAAATCACTGTTTTGGGTTTGAAACTTCCTAGCCAAGTCACCCATTTTTCTTCTAAAGTCGAGGTTGGTGGGTCTGGCAAAACTGGACCTGCCAAAAACACTTGCTTTCTCATTTGGCTTTCAAGATAATCACAATAAGGGCCTTCCATTTCTCGGCAAGTTTTGAAAACGATAGCATCACAGCTGGTGAATGAGATCAATTGGCGCTCCATAAAGGAAATGCCTTTGCCATAATGCTTTACAGTGGCAGTGGCTAACCCTCTTGCTTCATGAGGTTTTAGCCTGATGGCTGATGGTGGAAAGTTTGGTGGAGGGTTTATCAGATCAGCTTCTGATAAGGATTTTTCATGGAGTTTTCTTTCTGGGCTTATTAGATAACCCACAGTGGCAGGGCTAATTGGGCAGTAATGTAAGGCCTTAATGCCTAACCGAGATGCCAATGCAGGTAACCAATATGTGAAATCAAAGAACACCATATGGGGTCTGAGCTGTCTTAGAGAAACTTCAATCACAGGCTTGGTGAGGTCCATTGCGGTCATGAGAAGAGAATGCATTGAGAAAGGAAGGTCTGCAGTGGTTTCAGAGCTGAGAGGGAGACCATTGACTTGTGGTATGGTGATTGGAATGAAGGAGATTAGATCTGGGTGGCGATTGAAATGCTCCAATTTGGGTATAGTATTTCTAGGCATGAGAAATGAAATCTTGTGACCTCGCTCAGCAAGTTTGTTGGATATTTGCAGGTATGAGGTAAGATGGCCTATGGCAAACCATGGATACATTGCAACATGAAAGGTGTTGGTGCCCATGGTTGAACAAGGAATTATGGCTATGCAAACAATCTGTAAGTCACCAAGAATGTGATACTCCTGCTAAGTTATGTGGGAAGGATCTCAAATGGTGTGTGTATTGCATGAGTAATTCTTTGAAAATTGAAACAGAGCAAGCAACAATGAGATGGGAATATGGCTTCATGCCTTTGTCATTCTAAACAAAGCCAACGATTAGGAAAGTCATGAAATTCATGGGCTCTATCTCCCAGGCCTCTCTCCGTCCACTCTGCTAGGAGTGATTTCGTCACAATTTTTTTCGTTCCATTCAGAAAATTCGCTTCTCAAGCACAGCTATAGCAAATTAACAAGATATCAAAAGAACAAGAAGAAGAAAAAAAGGAGACAAACCAAATACCATATTGAAGTTGTATAATAATGATTTCAGTGTGATTTCAGTGTCACGCTGAAATCACATAATTATTTGGCATAATTTTTAAGTTGTCTGGTACAGTCTCTATAATGATTTCAGTGTCACAAATTCGAATGGAGTTATATAAGCTCTCTTGTATGCTCATCTAGCCGTTTCAATCAAATTAAGGTTGTCTTGCGCATCTGTTCCAAACCTTATAAGCTCGCACGACATTGTACTTGATTTATTAATGGTCCCATCCCATCTGCTCATTTTCATCTAGTGATATTTGTATATCACCAAAAAAAAAAAAAAAGCTTCCAAAAGCATGAAATATCGACACTAAAACATAGCAGTATATATATATATATATATATATATATACATATATATATATATATATATACTCACACACGTTATTTTGGTGTAAATATAATTTAACGGACGCAAGGAGTCTAATTTATATTAGGAACATTAAAAAGAACAATCTTTGCCCCTGTATAGTTACAAAAAAGTATTAGTTAAGCTCTGAATGGATAATAGAATTAAGGGGTTTAATACTAAGCAAAATTAAATCTTGAGTAGATTTTACCAACAAAAAAAAATCTTGAGAATGTATATTTCTATTCAATTTTTTTTTCTATCAAACAAACGCAAAGGATCGTGTATCATTACTCCACGAAAATTATTTATTTATTTATTTTGGAAATTACTCCATTAAAATTATTATGCAACACTTATTATTATTATTAGAGCAATTGTATTTAGATACAAACACAAACCCAATAACTCAAATAGAATGTATAAACGTCAAGATATAATTGCCTCGCTTAACCTACAACTATAAATACAGTTCGATTAACGTGATAAATTTTATTAGTTCAACTTACACAAGTTTTATTGCTTAATCTATGTTAAGATCAATGAACTTTGGTAAAAAATCAGAAATATTTCAACTACATAAGAGTTCTACTAATTAAAGATGTCATAGAATCTTCTAAAATAAAATCCAAGGACATCTAACCAAGAAGTCAACACCATATTATCTATTATTGTCAAACGATTCAACAGAATCTTGATGCTCACCAACGATATGAGCTAAAAATGATGTTTCAAGTAGATTCATATTGAGAAAGGGTTATGCATTCTTTATGAAACAATATGGTGGAGGGGATTTTCAACTTTTCACAATAACAATATGCCAAAATATTAAGCATACCTATTTAAAAAAGCTGATAAAAACTAAAGACATGCCTTCTAGTGCCTGAAATTTTTTTCCCTTGGGGGAATATAACTTTAAATCTAAAATATTGCGATTAATTGGTCAAACCAGTATACTAGAGCCCCACAAGCTTCTAGCCTTTACGTATACCCCAAGAAGAGGATCACTGAAATGGCCTGGCTACAGCAAAATAGGCATCTGGGTTTACTGACATCAGCAACTCCACAACGATAACCTTTCTTGGAAGGGAGACCTTGAGACCTGGTTCAATGATACCTGCTTGAGAAAATCCAAGAGAACAGCTTTAATAGAAGTTTAAGCTAAAACATCAAACTATCAAAAGCAATAAGAACCTACCTGGGGAAAGCTTTTTCCCTCCATACAGCTCCCTTGCTAGAGGATTAGAACCCCAATGATTGACAGCCACCCTACTCAAAGGTTGAAAACCAACTATCTTCCCGTCACTAGAGAAAACCACCTGAATTTCAAACAATAGCAAGGGCAAGAACATTATCAAATACAGTAATAAGAGTTGCCTGACAATATTGTAAATATCCAGACTAGGTTGAAGAATACAAACCAAGCATGACATGCATTACAAATTTTTTCCTCTATGCACAGGAGACTCAAATAGTTCATGAAATTAAACTCCTATGTACCAGTCATGTCTTAACTTTGCAACAAAAATGCATCCACGCCAAATATGAAGCATGTCAATTAAAATATTCTGAAAATCTGGAGTACCTGGTAACTAGCAATTTCCTGTATGGGCACTTTTGAATCTGCATCTATATTCTCCGATGTAGAAAAAGTATCAACACCTTTACCTCTCAAGTAAGCCGGCAATTCTCCAATCCAGGCACCAATACCATCTTCCACCTTAATATCATCCGACCAGCCAAGAGCATCCTTTACCTTTGCAACAGCTGAAATGCAAAAATCTTCCAACTATACATGTAAAAGATCCAAAAAGCATTTCTCAGGCACTGTAAACTATTAAACAAACAGTACAAATATGCCATGAGGAATGCAGGAACAAAGCACTACTAAACATGACCTATAACCTTCACGCTGCAGAATTAGTGTTACAACAAAGGACTGCAAACAGTTTCAAATATAACGACGACAGGCTCAAGCCAGTGCCAAAATTCAGACAGCTTTTTGATACGGTTAAGGCTAGGAAAATGTTTGCAAAGAAATATGAAAGGAGAAAGCACAAAGGGTCACAACCTCATGCTGATGATGATGTCAGAATAGCTGAGTCAGCTTTGGTTAGTTAAGGTGGTTAAGGGGTTAATGTCTTTGAAAGGGACAGGCGTGGATAAAAGGAGGGGGACAGCAGTTGGAGGGTATCCTGGAAAGATTGGGAACTTGGGACCTTTAGGCCCTGGGATTGGAATAGGAAGAACCAACATTGTAGGTTCTGGTTTGGAGTCTGTAACTTCTTTGCATCTGTAATTCTTTCTGTTTCTTGATTATTGTTTACTGAGGTTGTCACAATCCCCTCTGATTCACCATTATCAATAACAATCCACATTGTTCTTCTTTCTTGGTGTCCAATCTTATCACTTTTCAACATTATAAACTTGTTGTGATCAATCCATTTAATATTGCAAGGCTTTTTCCATATTGTGTGTTCATTATCTCGTAAGTATATAATTCAGATTGATTTTTTGTTCAGCCTCTGAAGCATAGGGATTGGGTACTACTAAAGATTGTTGGAAATAACATATTACTGGAATTAGTTACATTTGAAACCAGAGAGTTCTAGGAAACATCTCTTCCCACTTATTTCTCTTGTAATTAAAGACTGTAATTAATTTTCTCAAGTGCATACAACCATAGCAGGCTGGTGTGCAAGTCACTTAAGCAAATTCATAGACATCTCTAAGTTCTTCAATCTTTTAAAGTGGCATATATGCTTCAATTTGAACAGTGTAAGTATGGAAGAATAGAAAAGGGAAAGGGGCATTTCTCTGACAAAGAACCTACGGCCATAAGACTACTATGCTGAACAAAAGACTCAAGGAGATCTACAACAAATTACCAACACCAACTAGTTCAGATCTTAATAATTTTGACAGACTTCAAATAATTTAGTGCATAGATGTAGACCTTTAGGAAGTACAAGAGAAATTAAAAGGAAGCAGAAAGGAAAGAGCCGCATATAATAAGCTAGTTTAATAATCAACTCCATACTTACACATTCCTAACCAGCATGCAAATTTTGCATAAATTGCTTTTGAATTTTCTCGGCATAATACTTGATATAAAAAATCACTCCCCAATTAAACCCAACTAGCGAATATGGGGTGAGGGCAATCCTTGTACAGAGCCTTACCTTTGCAAATAATTGCAAATAGGCTCTTTCCCGGATTCGAACCCGTAACCTTTCAGTCATAAAGAAACAGCTTTACCGCTACTCCGGTTCGCCCTCTATAATACTTGATATAATTTCATAAAATAATAAAGAGAAAAAGGATAGACTGCATACCTTGGTTCCATCCAAAAAGTCATTCATTGCAACGTTGATTTCAGATGATGGTAGAGATCTATGTTCTACAGGGTGTTTCCTTTCCTTGCATAACCAAGGCAAACAAAATTGACCCAGAGCACTGATTGCTACAAGAAATATACCACTTGCAAGGGTGACTGGCAACAATTTTGGCAAAGAAGAACTCCCCTACCAAAAAAAAAAATATCAACTAAAAGCCAACATACTCTACTCAACAGAGTTGTATAAAAAAACTAATTGATAAGCAGAAATTACTACTAATTAAGAAATTCAATGAGAACTGCCCATGTTTCCTTGTTTGTATCAGTACAGAAACTATATCATTGCTGTTTATCTCAGCATCAGCAACTAGGTAAACTTCTACACAGTACTTTCTCAGGAAAGGAAATTTAGTTTTCCCCTCATTTTTGGGCCACGACAATGGAAGCCACAAAATGAAATTTTGTAGTGAATTAAAAAAAAATGAAAGAAGAATGGGAAATGGAAAACAATGAAATTTGGCTTTGACTCTCCTGTTCATATTTGAAAGATTCTATATATGTTTTTACACCATGATCTTGAATAACAAGAGATTATTGCAAGACTAATTTTTTATACAGAAAGACACTGTTATGTTCACAGTCTCTAGAACAAGATGGAGAAGGAAATAACTATGAAAGCTTGTATTAATCACAGATTCAGAATGGAAATTCAGTATTACAACTCATCTGTATGTGTGAGAATATGAACAGAAAACAAAGGTGCAAAAACAGGAAAAGATAACCTAGAGGAATTGTAGTGCCTCTAGTCACTCCCAAACACATAATGGTGTCCCAAGTCCAGAATGACCCAAAAGATGATCTCCCTTGCCCCTGGTTGACCCCTTTTAAGTAGTGCTTTCCCCTCTAACAGAATGGGGGAATATTTCTAACCGAATGGGGAATATTATCCCTTGCAGAGTCAGCATACAAAAGAGCTAGTGATCTCCTATACCTCTTCCTAAAATACATTTTTATGCTCGGTGTCTTATCAGACACCTTATCACGTAGTTTCATCTTCCTCTCACAGACATTATCATACCACACAAGATCAAGCATTTTAAGGCTAACTTTAATGAAGACTTAAAGAACAAACAACATATTTGATTACCTTTTTATTGGACACTTTGGCAAACTTGGCAGCCACACCACAGGATAATTGCTTATCAGGTAGCGTATAAGGATCCACATAGTACATATCTAGTGTTTCTGCCAACCCAACCTGCAATTTTGTTAAACCTATAACGGAATGAACATGTATTGTATACATGATATTGATGACATAATTGTCACATAACTTGGGGTGACCTTTTGCAGTACACCCTTCTATAGCAAAGGAGTATAGGAAATAAGTAAAATCTAAATAAAGAGTGAAACAACTAAGCATTGAACTAAAGCCGCCATATTCGAATTTACCAAACAAAACATAGACATTAGCCTTAAGTGAAGTTAAGGGCCTGATCAGTTTAGAGAGTTTTCTGGAAATTTCCAGATTTCTTTTATGTTTCAGAGTAATAACATAAATCTTTTAGAAAATTGTCAAGACTTAATGCTAATGTTTCTCTTTTTCTTTTTTTGCACTTTGAACAAGTAAATCCTAAACCATCAAATGTTATCACAAGACCGACAGGTTTTTGCTCTGCTTCCCCTTCATTATTTATTTCTCTTCTATTTTTATGTTAACCCTAAATTTGTAAACTTTTGTATGTTTGTTCGCCTATTCTTGTATCTCTTCCTGATGGAATGTTGCAACTGGCTTTAAACAATAATAATTTAAAGAGAAAATTCAAGTTGTACTAATGTTGTAATGGTTTTGATAAGCTAAACTTTAAGGACTTATTTTGACCCCATACGGTCCATTTAATCACCAATGATTGTAGCCAATTGCCTACTCTTAGGTGTTTAAGGCATACTATCATTTGGTAATCTAGCAACTTGAAGTCAGAAAGTGGGCAGGCCAACCACAATTCATTAACAAAAATATTGACCCAGAGGTCTTACTATCTTCTTTTGCTTCTCTGTTTTAAAAAAAAAAACTGAGGAAAAAAATAAAGTCCACTACTAAGCTTGTTTCAATACTTGAGTCACGACTCCCAACAATTAAAAAATAAAAATTAACAATAAAAATATAAAAGCCACTGCAGAAGGAAAAGATAAAGTACCATTTGAGAGTGGGTCAAAAGAACTTCCCACCTATTCTCTGCAGACTTCTTCCAGCCCTCAATTTTTGCATCTCCCATTATCTTGGTGTCAATCTCTAACCGATATGCAGGTACATACTCACTTGTCCAAGCACTGAAATCAGAACCACCAATTTTCTCTAATTTTTCGTAACAGGATGGCTTCCACCACCAATTCCCTGATTTTATTTTCAAAGGCTTAAAGCCATCCTTCATTAAATTATAATTATCCAATAGACTCCTAGCATTTTCAACTATCTCATCTTCAAATAATTTGTATAAGACGACCAAGGAATCTTTTGTTTCTATCCTTTCAGGCTTTTGAAACCAGTGAAAGAAACCACTTCTATTACCACCCTGCAGTTTATCAAGAAACTGTCTTTGAGTGCTTTGAAGAGCAGAGATACAAACAGCTTCTGCAAGCACGGAGATAAGATATTCATCGGATGTGCTGATAGTGAAAGATGCAGGAACCTGCTCATATGAAATGCATAAAAAGAACTGAACGTATCAGTATCAGGGCCACCTGCAGGACAGACATTATAATATGACATTATGATTTACAAAAGTAATGGATATATAAAAACTCAAAAAAGTTTTGAAAGAAAAGATAGCAAACCTCTCTTGGGTTTTCAAGATCCTCCATTTGTCGTTCTTCTCCTGGTTGAAATGCAATCAGATCAAAGTTCCAAATCTGCTGCAAAACAACTTGCCTAAAGGTCATAGCAAGAACATTCTTAGATGTAGTGCTGGAAAATACATCTTTGGAGAGGGACTTCCTGAGCTTGGCAGCTTTTTCTTTAACTTTCCTAGCAGGTAAGAACTGTCAAAACAACAAGCTTTGAAATTTAATCTCCAAATTGCATCGATATAAGTTTCTAGCAAAGATAACATATATAATTAAAACCAAAACATTTCTAAAACGGACTACCAAACATATCCCACAATTACAGCCTACACTTCTGTGATGATAAGATACATACATACATGCATGAAATACATATATGCATTACAATACAGTTTCCTCATCACAAAGAATACTATGTTTTCAGCTCTAATGCACACACTTTTCATCGTAGCTCAAAATATACTATTAAGTAATAGAACCTATAAGTATATTTTTCATGGGTATGCAAGCCTTTTCATTTTCAATTTCATATGAACAAAGTGGACAATAACATGAAATTGAACGAACCAGTCGAGTGGAGACAGTGCCGTGGCCGTTGGAAGGAGCAGGAAACACGGTTTCTACGACCATGGCATCCATGCCGGCGTTAATGTGGTCGGAGGCAACTTCGCCGCCGTCAGCCGCAGCCGCCGTTAAAGCCTGCTGGAAATCAACGGCTCCGACGAGAGTGAGCTGAGACAAGTCATTCTCGAAGGTTCTGACACATGGGAGGCTCTTGTTGTCGGACTCAGCAATGGCTTGAAGCACTTGCTGCTCTGTCACCGGAATGGCCTTCGGAGAAGAACAGGAGAGGACAAAGATGGAATTTTTAGAGTTGGTAAGGTGCAACGTTGGGAAGAATGGTGAGAATTTGGAGATGGGTCGAAGGGGAACAAGAGGGGTGAACAGTAGTGAGGTGCTGCTTGGTACGGTAGCCATTGTCATTGGTAACAGTTGAGACTTTGAGACCTCTCCTCTCAAAGTTAAACAAAACAAAACACACAACACTTGTTTGGGCATATAATGGGCCACTCTATACTCTAATTATGTTGTTGGCCCAAACAAGATTTCCTTGTTTTGTAATAAAAATATTTTTTTTTATACGAGGGGAGGGTTGGTAACTTGGTATTGATATTCAAATCTATAACTTTATTTAAATTATCTAATTTTTTCGTCATTAGATTAATTTTAATGACTTAAAAATAAACTTTCATATAACATTGCAAGACCATTAGAGCAATTTTTTAAATGAATTTAAGAAATATTATTATCTTTAAAATTAGGGAAGTATAAAATTTCTGCTCAAGAAATTACTTCACATAAATTTGAAATTAAAGCATATCAAACAAATATTACTAAAAAAGATTTTTTAAAAAAAATGCAAGAAAAAAAAATTGAGTCTAAAGAGACGTGTTCTTAAGATTTATGAATAATTATTTTCTATAATAAAATTAAGTGTCTTTGTTTTTGTGATGATATTTGCAAAAAGAATAATCTCATTCAACTATACCGTATCTCAACAATGTCACTAGAGTATGGGATATACAATGCAAATTATGAGGAATGCATGAAAACGGAGAGGAAGGATAGAAATCCGATATTTTATGATGGATTCATTTTTTTCATAATTTATTTATATTTAACCTAAAACAACGTTGTTTTAAAGCGAAAATCAAGATATTTTTCTATTTATAATTTATTTCAGGGGTATAATAGTATTTTTCATTATAATTTTTTATTTTTTAACTCAAAATGACGTCATTTTATGAACGAATGTGGATAACTTATCTATCTTCACTATTAAAACATTAAAACTTTTATGATTATCTATTTATTTATAAAATATTTAAAGTCATAATTTGAATGAAATACATTTTTTAAGGGTAAAACACTTCTCCTTTAACGGGAGAAGTGATATCTCATGTGACTATAAACATAATTTATGGGTCTCATCAGTTTAAAAAAAAAAAAAAAGGTTTGGCACAGGATTTCAATATTAGTGTAAGAATGATTTCTATTCTCGGAGAAGTTTAATTCCTTTTTTTAATAGATAAAGAATTAAATTAGAGGAACATACGTTCTGCAAAGAAGACAATAAACCTCATTAAGGATTTATGATGGAATTACATGTTACATACTAAAAGGAAAACATGATAACCAAGGTAGCAGCATGGGCAAAAGATTTGACTAGGTGTGCAAACTATTATTCATAATTAGTTCAAAATTAACTCTAGCCATATCTAAAGATATGGAATGTAAAGTTTACATAATTAAATAATTGAAGGTGAAAGCCATTAAAAATGAGTTAATGGTAAAAGGTTTCTGTAATTTACATGAAGTTATAATTTCAAATGTTAAAATCTTATCATGGTAAAAAAATAAATAAAGATGGCTTAACATTAAGATCAAAATAAGCTCTAATGCCATATTAAAATTCAAAATTAATTAGACTTAATTAAACTTTAAAACTTAATTTAAGGGAGAGACTCACTCAAATTATTACCCAGAATACCTTTTGCTATTTGTCCACATGTTTAGATGTGAAATCAGGTAAAGAACCAAAGTTTAAATCTTAAAAAAGGTAATTATTGAGAAGGCTTCTTAATCACTGCAATGTGTAGAAATATTATGTAGACAATAAAAAAATTTCAAAAAAATTTAAGTTTTTATTTTTTTAATAAAAACTTAAATTAAATTTAAAGTTAATAATTTCAAGATTATTTTTTCTTTCTTCACGTTTAAAAAAAAAAAAAAAACTGCGTGAAATGAATGTGGCCTCTGTCCCTTTGAATTATTGCTGTCTTGACACTCACAATCGCACGCTCTCTCTTTATTATGTCTCTTTCTGAAAGAGACATTCTGATTCTTTAAATCGATCAAGTCTTTCTCTCTAGGGTTGCCTGCTCTTCTATCACTGTATGTTTTTTCTTTCATATTCTTCTTCTTTTTCTCTTTTCTATTTATTTATATTTTTTTTTTGGGTCGCTTAGGGTTTCATTTGATTTCCGTTTTTCATTTTTGCCGTTTGGCTGCCGACAAATTTCGTGGAACAAATAGAAAAAGGGCATAACTTTGTTCCGTAAAGTTCTGTACTTTTTTTTCATAGGAAACAAAAATTATTGAAATTTCGACATACACTGTTTCTCCGCTGTTTTCTCCGTTAGTTTTCAGGGGACCGATGCAACAAAGAGAGACAGAATTGTTAAAGAGATTAATGTTGCATAACCTTTTCCCATGTCGATGCGGTTGATTAAAAATTTAATATTTTTCCTTTGAATTGTTTATTAACCGAAAATGCTTATTAAAAAACACATAGAATTTTGTCCTTTAGATTTCTATTTCATATTTACTTGGCATTTTTTTTTTTAAATAAATTAATTAATTAAATTGGAGCAATTGGTGTTACTATGCATTGATAGATGAAAAAGGATTACTTGCTTGAATGAATTGCTGGAGAGGTTTAATTGTTGTATGGAACTGTGGATGCTTTTTTGGTAACCCATGTCTGTATTTTCAAATTTGTGGAAAGGGGAGAAGTTTTCATTTCACTGAACTGTTTGCATGCCTTAACATATATATATATATATATATATATATATATATATATATATATATATATAAGCAGGATATAAGATATGGGAAAGAGGAAGGCAAAAACAAAGCCACCTCCAAAGAAACGAATGGATAAGCTTGACACTGTCTTCAGCTGCCCTTTCTGCAATCATGGCACCAGTGTTGAATGCCGCATGTAAGCATTTCTTAACTACTTTTAAGGGGTGTGTGTATTTATTTATTTTTTTAATATGCATCCAAAGATATTAGGGCACATTTTTCTCTGAAATCAATCTGGAAACCTTCTGTTTTACATGTTATAGATGTATGCTACTTGGTTTGAAGCTCATTTTTGGTGTTCTTTTGTCAGTGACATGAAGAACTTGATAGGGGAAGCTTCTTGCGGGATATGCCAAGAGAGCTTTAGCACTACCATCACAGGTTTGTTTCAATGGGCAGGCTGTGTTTAGCATTTAGGACATTAATTCTTAGTGGAGCAGTTATTTCCAATTGTTCTATCATGGCTGGCACTGCATATGGAAATGGGAAATGGCTAAGGGTGGCATATAAATAACATATTATGTTGATCTTTATAAAACGCAACTTGATATTGATGGTGTTGAGGTGTTCCCTTGACACTTGCTTTTAATGATGCATTTTAACTTCAATGAAGTTACTGGCATGTGCTACCTTGCCTTGTAGACCTCTTGCCCCGTGACAAGTGTAGCTAATATTTAACTCTCTCTCTTTTTTCTTTTCTTTTTTTGTGTTTGCAGCTTTATCTGAGCCAATAGATGTGTAAGTTTATTCAATATGTGGGAAACATCCTCCTTCCTCCCTCTCCCTCTTTCTCTCTCTCTCTCTCTCCCCCATTACTCAAGGAGCTTGTTTGCAACTATGCAGATACAGTGAATGGATTGATGAATGTGAACGGGTGAACAACTTGGAAGATGATGGTGCTTAGCAGCGATGCCAAGGGTACCTGTTCTGATGGTAGTGGATGGAGTAACTACCCAACTTTATATCTTCTCCAACCTGTAATTGTAAAAGCATGTGCAAGAACATGAGAATAATTGTTCTGTTTAGATGAAGCCATCTTGAATGGAAGCTGCGTATGTAATATATAAGTTTATACTCTTGCAGTTTATGTTTGCTGGTTGCATATGTAAAGCTCTTATTTCTTTCTTCTCCTTTGGAAGTTGTAAAGAACCTTGAGATACACCACTCCAAAAGCTAGCTCTAAGGGTGGGAGTGCCCAAGGCCTTATAAAGGCCACATTAGTTACCCACACAATCAATATGGGACTATATATCTCAACACGCCCCCTCACGCAAGAGCCCTTTGGGCTAGAAGCGTGGAATTGCACAGGCCCAATTTTTGGTTTACCTTTTTGTGCTTTTTATTTTAATTCCACTTGAAAGTGGGGGCGGTGAGGATCGAACTTGTGACTTTATAGTCACTTAAGCTCTGATACCATGTTGAATTTGAAATATATTGTATATTCAAGTGTATGTAATTTGTACAAGGAGGCTCTCTATTTATAGAGACTACAAAACCTAATGGGATGACCTAATGGGTCAAGCCCACAATCTAGACTATTCTAGACTATTCTAATAATAATAAATATTATTTCTAACACTCCCCCTCAAGCTGGTGCGTATATATCAAAAGCTCCCAGCTTGTTACAAATATGATCTATTCGGGGACCTCTAAGAGCTTTAGTGAATACATACGCAAGTTGATCATTTCCATCTGTCAGAGGAAGTATGCACTGGATATCCTAGATGAGACGGGCATGTTAGGCTGTAAACCCATTGATACACCTATGGACCCCAATGTTAAGTTATTACCAGGACAGGGGGAGCCACTGCCAGATCCTAGTCGCTACTGCCGACTAGTTGGAAAATTGAATTATCTTACTGTGACAAGGCCAGATATCTCCTTCGCAGTGAGTGTTGCAAGTCAATTTCTTGATTCTCCCTGTGACTCCCATTGGGATGCAGTTATTAGAATTCTCCGATATATTAAAAAGGCGCCAGGAAGAGGTTTATTATATACAAATAAAGGGAGTTCAGAGATCTCTAGTTATTCAGATGCTGACTGGGCAGGTTCTCCTTCAGATAGACGGTCCACCTCAGGGTATTGTGTCCTCTAAGGAGGAAATTTGATCTCTTGGAAGAGTAAGAAGCAAACTGTGGTCGCCAGATCCAGTGCGGAGGCAGAATATCGGGCAATGGCAAATGCAACCTGTGAGCTCATCTGGCTGAGACAATTGCTTAAGGAACTCCATCTCTGTGAACAAAGGCCTATGAAGCTCATTTGTGACAACCAAGCCGCTTTGCATATATCCTCTAACCCAGTCTTTCATGAGAGGACCAAGTATATAGAAATTGACTGTCATTTTGTTAGAGAAAAGATCCAGTCAAGGGAGATCGAGACAGCATTTGTCAATTTCAATGATCAACTTGCGGATGTATTCACTAAAGCTCTTAGAGGTCCCCGAATAGATCATATTTGTAACAAGCTGAGAGCTTTTGATATATACGCACCAGTTTGAGGGGGAGTGTTAGAAATAATATTTATTATTATTAGAATAGTCTAGAATAGTCCAGGTTGTGGGCTTGGCCCATTAGGTCATCCCATTATATTTTGTAGTCTCTATAAATAGAGAGCCTCTTTGTACAAATTACATACAATATATTTCAAATTCAATTGAAGTGACCTGGAAGAAAGGGTTTGACAAGAAGCTTGATGGGCTTGGCTTTTGATACCTATAGTCAATTGGCATTTTTTTCCCTAGTCACTTTTTCTGCTTGTTATCTCGTCTTGCTCCAATTGGTGGAAAACTATTTTTACTACAAATTATCCGACATTTTACTAGAGATGAGTTGCAATGCTAACTTAGAAACCAGTTAGCATTTTTCAAGAGGCTGAAGTGAGATTCATTCGTGCCTCGTGCGTGTATGGTCGGCGATATTTTGGAGGATCGCACCGTAATACTATCTGAGTAAAGTTTATGGGGGTAGGTCAGGGGGAGTTCAATTCTAAATAGATGAATTAATTTTACATTGTGTCTCCATTGTTATCTACTTGGTCTCCGCCAAAGGAGAGAACATTGGTTACTTTTATGTCATTGAGTTCGATAGAGGGTTAGGCAAGGATATTCTCTCTCCACGTTTTTTTTCTAATCTATTTACAAGATGGAGACTTTTTGAGCAATTCAATAATCTGAACTCTTTTTAAGTTATAACACAAGTCTAAAATTTAAATAATAATGTTACGCCGAATCGCTGATAGTGAATAATCTTTACTAGAATCATTTATATTTTGTTCTCACCTCAAGGAATAATTAATTTATATTTTAAAAGCCAAAATAAAATTCATCTAAATGTAAAGATAAAGGTATATTACGGCATATATTATAACGCAATTAGTCATTCTAAACTAGCGATCTAGTAGCTTTTTGAAAAGCTATTCAATTCTCTCTTCTTCTTTTTAATACAATAGGCTATTCAATTCTCTACTCATAGACAAAATGCAGCATGGATCTGATCGTCCGTAGAGAGATGATCCTAAGCTATTCGATGTTACTTTACCCATGACGAACAACTCAACAATCATAATTCTTAAATAACATGACACTACCCAATAGTCGATCATCTCACATTTTTCAAAGTTAGACTCCATACCTTTTTTCTTTTTTTTGTAGATAAATTGCTCATAAAGGGTCTGAAACATTTATTGCAAAGTCAACACTATTGTTATGGAGCCTTGAAAAGTCTGTCATGCAGACTGCATCTAACGCCTTCAACAGTGTTGTTAAGTGACTTACATTAGTATGATTTGGATAATAAAGAGTCAGGGCTAAATTACAGCAATTTTGTGCCTCAATAATAGGTCAATTTCTGTACTGCCGATTAGATTCAAGCACTCACCCAATTGCTTTTAATAAAAGGCATGCAGCAATTTTTTTTAAGGTGAACTTCCGAAGTTAGAAATCGGTATCCAGCAGCCTCTAATGCAGCACTCCTCAGAGAATGAGCTATTCACAATGTCTCGACAATGGGAAAAAATGACCTTATCTTCTTGTTCCTAAGAAGAAAAAGTGAAAAGACCAAATCAGAGGAAGGAGGAGGACAGAAAACAAAACCCAGTGCAGTTTAATGTAAAAAGTTGAATGCAGCATCTAGCTCATACCTTAAAGATCAATCACGTCAAATAATAGTCGCTTGTGTTCTCAACAAGATAGTCATATGGTGTAGCTAACCCGTATTCATATGGTCCATTTAGTTGAGTTACTTTGTTTGAAGTTGAATAGACACCACCTATGCCAACCTTGGCATTAGGTTTGGTTCTTCCTCTGGCAGACCATCTGTTATCAGACGGAAACTCTGCAGAGAGCCTTCCCATCTGCTTCTGCAGATCAGCAACTGAATCACTAGTTATCTTTGCCTTAGAGTTCTTCTTCCCATCAACAAGCTTTAGTTCCAACCGATATAAGGCACATGCATCACACTTGCTGATTTCGTACTCATAAAGGTGCCACTCAAAATGGTTCAGCGGTTGTGGGTCCATATAATAGGACCTCTTCAGGCCCCCAAACTCATTCATCACTTGCTTTCTAGATTCATGCCATCCACGCCCACTATAATCAGGCAATGACCTCTGCTTTCTGTTTCCGCTCTCAAATGCTCTTCGAGGCTTATCAAAGAAAAGCCATTCCCTAATAGTCTCACCCTCAAGAACAGAAAGATCAAAGAGCTCTACAATCAACCAAGAAATTAATTAATTACATATAAAGAAGTAAAGAACAATCTTCTCAAATTTTATACTAGATACTTTTATAAAATAACAGCCTAACAGGCAAACCAAGGAAAAGAGACGTCAAGATTAAATTACCAGGTGCATTCCATGGAGACTTTGCAGTTGCTGCTCCCTCACATTCTGGTATGCCAACATCTTTTCCTTGTGCCTTTGCACTAAGAGTAGCAAAAAGTAAATTATCCTTCAGTCCAATTCCCCCAGGTCTTAGAACTGGGGCCATGCCTGGTGGTCCTTCATTTAAAGCTAGAGCAGCATGAAAGCTACTGCAATAGTCTTGACACCAGTCCAACCCTTGCACAGGCCTTGGACAGTCCCAAAGTGCACATTTTGGGCCTAAGAAAGCAGAAGGAGGAGGGAAGATGCTTGGTAGATAGCTAGATATATGAGGAACAGCATCCTCCTCACAAAAACCTGTATCGTTAAAACCAGCATAAAAGCTGTGATCCAAGTCCTGATTTAAATCAAATTGATGATACTCTAAAGCAGGCCCATCCAAGTTGTTAGCGGCCATATTGGAAACTCCTGAGGTGGAGTGTTTACTCTCATCAATTAATAGGAAATCATTTTGATGTTGGCCCTGATTTACAGTTAAACCAAGAAACTCATTATAATTACAGGTGAGATCCAAAACACTGACTGACAGTGAAATAATGATTATAACTATAATGCATAAGAACAAAAATTGGGCTTTGGGTTCTTGGGAAGAAAATTGTATTAACTCTAAGAAAAGACTAAACCATCAAAGCTTCTTTTCTGTCCTTTGAAAATGGAGACTTCAAAAAATACATTAAAAAACAACAAAAAGCCTACCACATGTGAAAGACAACTTGTCAGGTTATAATCTTTTTCAGTTTCTATTACCATTCTGAAGTATCCATTAATCTAAATATGAGTTGAAGCAATACACCCAACAAAAACCGAGAAGCTTCAAAATCAATACTTAAGACAGCTAATGGCACACAAGATAACAATTATTAATGTTGCCAAAATAGATGAATAACCCCAAAAAGGAAAAAGGCACACACCTCTTGGAATATCTCCTTAGCCCCAGCTTGATCATTAGGTTCAGGCTTAGGCACAGCTAATGGGCTAGTGGCATCATCTTCCTCCTCACAGAGCTGCAATAACCTACAGATATCGGTCGAGAATGATCCAAGACTGCCACCCTATAGTCACCCATAAATATGACAACTCACAATCATGCCTTTACAACAAATATTGCCATTCAAGTTCACATGTGTCCATCACAGATTCACCATCAGAAAAAGTACAGGTTACAAGCACCCATGATAATTACGTCCTCAAGTTACAGTCAAGGAGATGTACTGCAAGAGCTTACTTGCTGCAAAGAAGAAGCAGGAGAGGGCTCATTGAGCTCAGCCTTCCACTCACGAAGCATCTGATGGACTTGCTCCTCAAGAAGTGCAGCATCAACCGTACGGCTCTCCTTCCTGGCAACCTGCAGATCCAGGAACATCATCTGCAGATCATCAACATGGTTCTTTGCCTTGTCCTTAAAGAGCTTGTGTGATGCTGTCTTGCAGCTGCTCTTGGAAACCTTCTTCATCCCTAAACCTCAAGTCCTGCCTATAAAACCCTAGACTCACCAATATAACTGAGTTTCAATTCACAAATAAAACCTCAGAAAAATAGAAAACCCAACAGATGCATCCAACTTACAGATAAGTTTATCATGATCATTGATCAGAAGCATATTCTAGCTCATTCCCCACCCAGAAAGTACAGGAATTCTAGAACTAAGAATCCAACATCACAATGACATAGTTAAGTCAAATCATAGTAAAAGATTCACCCCCATTTTCAATAAATTAAATAAAAAAAAAAAGAGGGTAGGAGCACAAGCCCATTTTCCGGTGAAAACATAAAACCTAAATAAAGATCAAAGTAATCAATTTTATTTATAAACCACCGTAACAAATTGAAACAAGAAAAAAAAATTCACTAAAGCCAATCAAAAGCATAAAGCAAAGCATCATTATAACAATCTCCAATTCTGAAGCAAATCATAATATTAGCTCGAAGGAACACTACAAAGACACTGGAAAGCAAAACCAACCAAAGTCATGATCACAGTTTACAGCCAAAAACCAAAACCCAAAACCTAAATTAGAAAAGAAAACTCATATATGCTTACCTCAGAGTCCAAATTTTCCACTGAAAACAGAGGGTTCAATTCTCTCTCTCTCTTAAGAAAAAGACTGGAGCTGAGAAACTCTATATAAAAAGATGGAAAGGGGAAGAGAGAGAAAGTGCTTTTTCTCTCTCCTTCCCTCTCTGCTGAGATCAGTGTGTGTATGGAAGGTGGGAAAAAAGGAACATTACAGTTACAGTGAAGATTGAAGAATATATGTTGTTGGATAAATAAATATTAAATATGCCCTTTGTCTTACCTAAAATAACGGTTATAACCTCATCATTTATTTTCTTTTTTGTAATTTTAATATATATTAAGAAAAATCTTTTATAAAATTTTCCTTTGTTGAAAATAAATATTGCCGAGGTGCATTCAAGAATATAATTGAACTTCGTATATAATATATGGTGAGAATCAGAATAGCATCTTCGTAATGCTACAATAATGTTATTTACATACTTTTTTTTTATTCGGTATATTTTATATCTTTCAATAACAGCATTTAATTTATACTTGTTAGCAATTTGGTGTCATATGTTCATAATAATTATTATTTAAGTATTATATTCCTTACATATTTCAAAATTTATTAATAAGTAAAACATAAAATATAAATTATCACCAAAAGAGAATGTGCACTGTAGAATATTGGAAAAACTTTTCAATTTTTTTTTTTTTTTTGTCGATATAGGATGCTATCGTGGCCCTGTCTTATAAGTTATAACATATGTAGCACCGATACTGATACGAGATACGAGACACGATACGACATGACACTCCGACACGTTAGTTGTAAAAAATATTAGATTTCGACACGTTAGGACACGTTTTGATATTAAATAGTATTTTTAATTTATGTCATATATGTTATATTTAATACTCAATAATTTAACAAAAAAATGAAATTAAACTTATAACACCCATCAATTTTGCAAAGAAATATAAGATATCCCAAATATTTATATTAAACTCAATAAAATAGTAATCGTAATCCAATGAATCTAATAATTGAAACTAAAAAAGTAACGCAACACAACCTTTGAACTTTTTTTTGAATCTCTACAACGCGTGTTGAAGTGTCGAAGTGTCGAAGAGTGTCGAAAAGTATCGGATACGACACGTCAGAATTTTTGAAGTGTCGGTGCTTCATAGGTTATAACTACTCCGGTTTATCACTTTTCAAATAGAGACCACGTAGTGGTTCTTCAAAAATGATTGTTCCTATGCTGCCAACTTTTCTTCTTCCCAATAAAAGAAGTTTAATTATTATTATTTTTTTAATTTTCTATTATGTGAAAGCATGAATCAAAGATCTTTATATCTATAATAATAGGATAAAATATTTTTTCAGTCACTAAAAATACGTTATTTTCAGAGACCTCAAAATTACGTTGATGCAAAATTATAGGGAAAATAGGCTTTCAGGAAAATGCAGAAGTTTTCTGCTATATTATCATTCTTCAATCATCAAAAGTCTTCCCTCACATCCTTCTAACCAGCCTTTTAAAGGCAATACAAAAAGTAACTGACAACAAAGGACTATCAATGGTCTTAAAAACTGATACAAAACGGAAATAACCATAAACAAAACATAAAGTCATGCAAACTGAAACGTCTGCGATTATTAAAATCCATAAAAAGCTTTAAAACTGAAACGTCTGCAATTATAATAATTTATGGTGACTTAAGTGCATCATACTCTCCCACTAGGGAAAGATTCGCCCTCGAATCTGCAACGTCCTCAGGTGGTAATCCAGGCGGCAACTCTTCTGGTACAATATCACCAAATTTCCTAATTAAGATTAGGACTTGGAAATGTAATTCTTTGACATGCTTGGTATATTCATTTGTAGTTTGGATCAATGATCGCATCTGTGATCCGTCATAGGAAAACCTTGTCTGATGTACCAGCAAGTCCCATTGTCTTTGACAATCTCCAATTAAACTTTTACCAAAAGGTAAATCTTTATCTCCATGGAGCATAAGGTTGTTATGCTCGTTGTCCCCAAATTCATAATACTGCTTGCAAACTAAAGACTTCTTGGATGAAGGATCATTCTGCATGATATCTTTGGGGAGAAATTCATCTCTGTTAGAAATATTAGAATTTCTAATAATTGACTTCCCATCGGAATCACTACAAGAGATTTCTTTCACCTCTGGATTCTCGTCGTCTTGCTCCCAATCATACTTATCATAGATAGGGAACTTGTCATAAATTGGAGCATCCATAACAGGATTCTCATCATCTTGCTCTTCATCATATTCATCATAGATTGGGACCTTCTGGTCTTCTGTCAAGTCTATGATGTCAAAGACCTTTTCGACGGTGTGTGACTCGTCAATAAACTCATCTGGATGAGTGGTTCCTTCGAATTCCGGGATCTCAATCATCACCTCAATATTAGCAAAAAAGGATTGATTTCCAGGTTGACTTCGTCCTCGTCGCTCCTGGTTTTGGTTCCATAATCTCCTTTCCTCCTCATGAGATGATCTTTCAGATTCTCATCCTTCATTTGACTCGTGCAACTGTGCCTCTGCAAGCAGTTGTTCGAGTTCTTGGATCCGTCTGTCCTTTTCCTCAATTTCAGCATATCTCGCATCAGTATAATAATCACCATTTGGTATCAGAGCTCAGCCATCTTAAGGCAACCTGAGCTCTGATACCAAATGATGCAAAATTATAGGGAAAATAGGCTTTCAGGAAAATGCATAAGTTTTCTGCTATATTATCATTCTTCAATCATCAAAATTCTTCCCTCACATCCTTCTAACCAGCCTTTTAAAGGCAATACAAAAAGTAACTGACAACAAAGGACTATCAATGGTCTTAAAAACTGATACAAAACGGAAATAACCATAAACAAAACATAAAGTCATGCAAACTGAAACGTCTGCAATTATTAAAATCCATAAAAAGTTTTAAAACTGAAACGTCTGCAGTTATAATAATTTATGGTGACTTAAGTGCATCATACGTCGTTTTTGAATTAATAAAGGATATTTACATAATTTTATTCATTTTTTTATCATATAAATTTTACGAAAACACCTTCTATTAATTTTCCTAAAATTATGAAAAAACTTTTCATTAATTCAAAATGACATAATTTTATGAGTAACAGGAGATAACTTTATCTCTGTATAATTACTATTATTTATTTTAATTTTTGGAAAATTGACATGGACGTTAATTGAGGTTTAGTAGTTATTACTTATTAATTAACACTTGGAAAAATGAAAGTGTTTATGCGTCTTCAAGGTTGATTTTGTTCTAATTACTTCAAAAAACGAAGTGGGATAAACTTTAAATACATAGAGCTAGAGAAAGTGCGCCTGCATTAATGAAAATAACATAATCAATATTAACTGTTTGATTGACGAAAACAACGGCTAAAATTAAATATAAGATTTATTATTCTTATACGGGTCTAAATCTATATATATTACCATTTGTTTTACAAAATATTTTTGGCAACTCATTGTTGGTGACCCAATGAAACCACTGCTAAAAAACAGAGGAGAATTTGAAGAAATAATAGAATCCACACAAAATAAATCAAAGTAACAAGAAGACGACTCCTCCTTTTTTGCCAAATATAACAGAAAGAAAAATTGAATTTCCTCTGTTGGGTGAACAGGTGAAAGTTGATCAATGTAAGGAAGGAATAAAGTACACTTCCATTATCATCCAACAATAACATATTCCTGTTTGATGCTCCTCTTAATGGAAGAGCTTTATAGGAGACTGTTCAATGGATACAATACCTGCTTAGGATAAGCTGCATTCCATGGTTTATCATCCAGAGCATCCACATAATCCTCTATTTTCTCAAAAGGAAAACACATCATTGGGTTGTGGGGTGGATGGTTGTGCTCACAATATTCAGGATCAAAGGCGGTGGATACCTTGTCACCAAACTTGAGATATAATCACAAGTAACTTCAATTTTATATCCATGCAGTAAATGCTAAAATAGTTACCATCATTTTAAACACAAAATTGCCTTCCACATATACCCATGCCTAAATGAATAAGGACATGAGGTCCTCCATATTCTGTACTGCAGATAAATCCGAGCAATCACCAACTGCAAATTAATTCATGCTGAAAGAGAGAGAAAGTGAATACATGAATTTTATTTTATTTTTTAAAGAATAAAAGGTGGACTTGAGAAGGAAAATGTTATATTTGAACGATGCTTTTTCCACTCAACCGATGGCTGCACATCTTTGCCGCTATAAATTATAGTCTCTGCAACTTAGTTTGAGTAACACATTTTAGTTTATTTGGTTTGCTAAAAAATAAAGAATAGCACAGCAAACAGAAATTATATTCAGTTTGATTTTGGACAAAGAGAACTTAAGGAACAGCATAAGTCTCAAAAAAATTTGTTACTCGTTAAACCAAATTACAAAATATTGTCCACGTAACAAAAAAGAGAAAAGGACCAGTAACCCCTATCCCATTATGATCTCAACTTTATTGCACTCAAAACAATGTACACCACAAAGGATATTGTTATAAATTTTGCTTTATTCTATCCATAGATATTACAAAATTTTTAATCCTGCGAATCGGTCATGAATAAGCTAACTACACAAAAAATTGTAATGTCACTCACCCACTTGTGCTGCACAGTTGTGTTTGTGATGTCCGTCAATATCCATCCCACACAACCTAGGAATCTCTCATCAACGAGATATCCTTAATACAAATAGAGAAATTGATAGATGAAAAAATGTGGTGCATAATTATCCTCTTCATCAGGTCAAGCAGTTTTCCCTGTCTTTCCATTTTCTGTATTACCGAGTCCGAAATTTAGAATGCCAGTGAGTCCTCGTCCCCTGGCCAGTTGTTCCAGTTCTTGAAGTCTCTGCTTAAAAAGTTCTACCTCTTTTGCCAAGTCCTCATTTTTTTGCTTAACAGCCTAAAGAAGAATGAACAATGGTCGGAAAATGATGTAATATGAAACCTTGACTAAGAGATAACTTCTCTCACATTCTGTTGAGGTTTTATATTCTAGAAGGAGAAAGAGGACAAAGTGCCATGAATTATTAACAACCCACTTTTCCTTTAACAGTAATGCTTAGATAGCTAAAATAAAACCGCCTGGCCTTAAATCTTAACCCTCAAACATGCCAACCCAGACTTGTAACAGTATCAACTTCAACACAAAGCACATTAATACTGTCCTACCGCAGCTTTTTCACGAGAGGTCTAGCACTAGCCACTTATAGATTTCTGTTTTCATTCTCAAATTCAGCATGACTGTCAATTTAACCATCCCTAACAGAATTTTAAAATAAAATACATCACAAAGCATTATGCAACCTATGGGCAACAATAATGCAATTAGGAATTGATGGCACCAACTGGAAAATATAGGGATTGAATTTATCAAAGGCTGAAAACGTTAGTAATCCTGTATTCTGATATCTTCAAACATGAGGCCCTATGCATCATAACCTCTGTTCAGTCGTTCTAGAAATTACTTTTAATTCACGAAATGATAAGAGGCAAACAATTCCACTGCTTCTACCTAGGCCATACAAGTAAAGTTATAAATAGTTAAGTTTGAAATTGCAGAAGTTTGTTGTTTATTTATCTTCAGCATAAAGGAGTAATAATCCTTCAATAATAGCAGTATTACTAAACAAAATTAATCATCTATACAATTTGGTCAAGTTGTTCTAGTAAAAAAAATGTCTAGTACAAAAATATATATGACATTGTGTGTTTCCTTCAGTTTCAAATTTGTCAAGTTTTCTTTCTCCTTCAATTTTAGTTGTTTATTTCTTTCGGTCCTTGTTTTCAAAATCATGAACATATTGAGAACCAAGATTAAGCAAAGAACTATAATATTACAGAATGAAAAGGTATTTGTATAACATCAGAAAATAAGCAGTAGATGATATATGTAATTAGCAAGTATCATACGAATGCAGGTAATTTTAAATTCGGATAAAATCTATAAAAAAAAGAAAATTGAAAAAGAAAAATATTAAGGAGAAAAAATATTTAAAATAATGAGGGAGATATTCATAATTAATTTAGGTAGAATCCAAAAAGTATAGATTAAAAAAAGTTTAAATTAAAAATAAGACATGCATAATTAATTTAAAAGAAATTGAACTTTAATTTTTTTATAAAAAAAGTCAAGAAGGACATTTTTCATTTTTTAAGGGGGAGTAAATTAAGTTACCATGAAGAGTGTACTTCAATTTAATAAGGGCGGATATGTTTGGCATGGTACTTAGGATGCAAGATAAGATAATTAAAATTAAGGGGAAATAATATATAAACTAAATAATAGAGCAATTTTGAAAACAAGGACAGAAAAATAAAAAGAAATAAAAATTGAATGAGAAAGAAAGCTTGACAAATCAGGAATAAAGGAAACACATGATCTCAGATATATGTATACCAGAATACTAGATGATAATTTTGAAATTACCTCCAGCTCTTGCTTTCGTAGCTCCTCCTTTCTTGCTTCAGATCTAGCACTTCTTTGTACCTCAAAGATTAAGAGAACTCCCGCCACCTATGAAAATAGCACATTGGCACAGAAGCAAACAATTATTAAGGACAAGGCATGTGGGTATGCACACAAATTATTTTGGTACAAACATGTAAAAATGATTATATTCTCATGTCCTGTGTCTGAGGGTTAATAAATTCCCAACAGGGTCTCTTTTTATGTTTTCGGGGGTGGTTGGGGGTGGGAGGTGGCGGTACTTAAACTAGCTAGTACCAAGTCCCAACTCCCAAGGGTTTTCTATCCTTAAAAAGCTTTATCTTTCCTTTAATGAAAATACTGTTCTCATAAAGGTAAATTCTCCAAAAATGTTATTTAAACTAAGACGGAAACCCTTGGCTTCAAAGATCACAACTCAAAAGCAATTCTTTTGGGCCTTATATCGTAAGCATTTTGTTATCTCACTTTGTAAAAAATTATTCACTCAATTTACTATAAAGAAATATTTGAGCTATCAATTTCCCGTTTCTATACATTTTTTTTTCTTCTTCTTCCTCTGTCTTTGCCGTCTTCTCTTTGAATACTTCCTACAACCCTTCTGGACACACACTATGTTTGGCAAGATAACTGTAATTTTCTGCCATTCTTTAGCATTAGTTCATCTACTTATATACAGACTTTCTAAAACATTTATGCTAATATTTAATACACAGAACTCAATCTGATCCAACAACTGACTATAAAGTACCACTTAATTGAAACTTGACTACATGTGTCAATTATTAGGATAGCTTTCTGCACAGCATGATTGGGTGTTTTAATCAACTCGAAGTCACCCAAACCTAGTAAGATCATAGTACCTACTGTCAAACTTGAGAGTTTAGATCAACTGGAGGAGCCCCACTAAAGTCAACTTGTAAACTTGTATGAGTTTATGTGCTTTAAAAATACTATTAAAAGAACATATTAGTAACCAAACATAATTAAATAGCACATTCATAATTAATATTGAACATGCCAACTTTATAACAAAGCCAATGAAAGAAATAAAGTGAAAACGTAGCCTGATACTTGACCCAACAATTTATATTATACTTGGTGCCGTACTTAAAATTGTTTCGTATTGAAAAAACAGAAAAAAATAGTAATGAAAACATAAATAAGATTCATGAACTCAATACATATGCAATACAGAGGCAACTCAACTCCAATCCAATCACAAACAAAATTGACAAAAAACTGTGTTTTCAGGGAGAAACCATGTGTAAATTCATGCTCATAAACATGCCAGTAGAGTCGAGAGTTACCAATTTTCTCAAAGTTATCTTAAAATTGAATGAGTTGTTTGCATATGAGTTAACTTGTTTTTGTTTCCTGCGATCATAAACTCATAAGAGTTTAAGAGTTAACTCGAGTTAAACAACCATGGTACCTACTCAAACACTTCTAGGAAATAAAAGCTGACACTTTAGTACTAAAGCTTATTGCCCAAGTTTCAAAATTTCAATAATTACTGACAAGGTTTATACCTCAAAACTCAAAAGCACAGACAGGGAAAACAGCAAACCTTTTCCATTCGATGTAATTTTAGCTTAAACAAGATTGTGAGAATTTCAAATTTCACGGTGATTACGCTTGACATTTGGAATTAGCCAGACACAGATTTGTTAACTGAGTCCCATTTCATATAATAACTTTTATATATTGCATTCAATTCTTAGCAAAATTCTATATCACCATGCAGCATACAGTAGATTCCACCACTAAAGTTAACTGCTGTAAGTGAACTGTAATAATTTCCCACATGAAATCCATGTCTTCAATAATAATAACCCATAAGTAAAAGTAAAACAGCTTTAGCAAATTGCACATCTAAATCCATATTACCGAGAAGACAAAGAGTTCTCCAATAAGGTCTACAGCAGCTTGAACTGCTTTTTCCTCATTCAAAGGGCGAATCTCAACATCCGTTGCATGGCCATAGATGCGCCTTTGCATCTTTGTTGTGACTTGATGATTAAACTGTTTCCAAAAAAAAATTTAAAAAAGAAAAAGAATATTAGAGTTTCTCATATCTTCACATCCAAAGTCAAAGTCCAAACTGCATAAGAACAGACAGCTAGTACTTAAAATGATTGATCTCTAAACCTAAATCAAAAAGAAGATAACAGAATGTACCATTTAAAACAGAATTTGCCATAGGGAATGCAGAAGCATAATGCTTAATACAAGCCAGTAAGGCATCATCAAGGACTAAGATGCTATGTAATAAACCATTGAAGCAAAAATTAAACCGCTCTGTGGTGATCAAGTTTTTAATAACAATACAAGATTCATAAATCATTTCCGTATTAAAACAGAAAAAACCCTAAAACAAAAAACAAAAAACATACAGACATTTCATGTGTTATTCATGAATTCTTTAATTCTTTTACTTCCTTCCTTCTTAAATATCAATATATTTGATAAATGGAATGTAATGGAACACAAATCCAAGTCAATGAATGAAAATCAGTTTGAACCCTTAGAAGCAAATGAAGGTGATAGATAGCAATGAGTGAGAAGGTAGTAATAGGTACCTACCTGAGCCATATTAATGATGAGTTGGCGGAACCTGGGGTGAATAGCAGCTTGCTGCTTCAACCTACTCGCAACTGGTTTGCTGAGGGTTTTCACCAACAGCGTCCCAAGCTTTAAAAGCGGCAGCACCATGCTTTTGCCTAACTGTTATCTAATCAGATCAAATGCTCAATGCTTCCTTAACCAACACCAAATGGCTTTCTTGATGAAGAAGAAGAAGAAGAAGAAGAAGTTGTTGAAGTCGTTGAGAGAACAAATTCAATACGAATCCTTAATGGAGATTTAGATTAAAATTAAAATTAAAAATAAAATAAAAATAAAATAAACATTGCAATTTTTTTATTTTATTTTTTAAATTAAAATATTCAACTTCAAGCAGCGATTGGCTCCTCGTAGTGTTTGGTTCAGGTTTTATTTTTGGATCCCCGTCTATCTTATATTAACATTTTATGTTGTCAATGTTTGGTAGAAGGAAAACAAAAACTTGCCCACCAAAATGTTTTTCCCATCCATTGTAAATTGCATACAAAAAGGGGAGATGTTTCTATGTTGAAGTTTACCATTTGAGAGGTAGTATTTCAAGAAAATTAGGGAAATGAAAAGAGGTGAACCAAAAATCTTACATATTTACCCTCTTGTGATTAGTTTAGTCATTTCCACCCATTTAAGTACAAGGGTTAATTTAGTCCTTTCAACTAATTTTTTCATTATTATTTTACTTTCAATCAAACAAAGACTCACATAATTTAATTTAATTTTTCTAGTAAAATTTTATCCAACCAAACAATTTTTTTTTAACTTTTCTACCAAATTCACTTTCGAACCATTTCAGTATTAATTATATTTTCTTTAGTATTCAAAAATAATTTCCTCGTGCCCTTGTTACCTTGCGTTGGCTTTTGCGTGGTTTCGGTTTCCCGTCTGTTTGGACGGCTGCAGACATACAATGGAGCAGGGCTTAGGAAAAACGCTACTTACGCATTCAGCAAGTCATGCTATGTTTACATTTAATTGAAACTATAATGTCTAGTAATTTTTACTTATTAAATAATTTAATCATCAATAATTCTTATTTATTCACTTAAAAAAATCCTATTTTGAAAACCCTTATAATAACAAAATTCTAACTAACGATCTAATTGGGTAATGTATTTAAATGCATTTCCAATAAAATTTAAATTACTTTAATATGGGAAAATTGTATAAAATAATTGATGTCGAAAGCGCATAAAAAATAGTGGGCCTAAAATAAAAAGTTAGGATTTTTACAAAAAAATGACCCTCTGATTCTCAATTTTCATTAACAAAATAATAAAATTCAACTCTTACGATAAGGATTATAAGCAACTTTTATAGACAATTACAATTGATCCAAAATTTAAAATCTAAAATCCTAAAAATAAGGAAAACTCCTAAAATAAATATAAAAGTGATTAACTTTTAAAAATAAATAAATAATTAAAATTAAATCATTCAAAACACGTCTCAAATCTTATATCTGAAATCTTGTCAAATGTGTATCTTTCCAAACAAATCATAACCATATATGGTGCTTCATCTGGGGTTGAATTTGATCTTAATTTGTTATATTTCAAATTACATGTGCAATGGATTAACTGTAAGTGCATCAGTATCCCATGTTATAAAAAGATTCATCCTCAATTTTTTTCCATCTTCATTGTTATCAATCTCTATAGATAAAACTCAATTGATAATTCTTTCTTTATTACATTTTTATATTCTCCATCAGATTTATCATAAACTGTATTATTATCATAAAATGAATTTTTATCGTAAGATTGATAATCATTATAAATCGAATAAATATTAAGGGGTGTATTGGATTAGAATTTTTTTTAAAAAAAAAATTGAGCTAAAAAATCTTATAGATTTTAAAAGACTATTTAAAATTGGAGAGACTTTAAAGACTTTTTTAAAAAACTTTTTTTACAATCAAGATTTCATAAGATTGGATTTTAAAGGATTTTAATAGAATTTATAAGATTTGAAAGGACAATATAGATTTATAAGATTTTAAAAAATCATATGAATTTTTAACATTCAAAATTGCAGGAGTCAATAAAAAAGAAAAATGTTATATTTACAACCTATTTTTGTTTACAACATTTTACAACTATATCTTAACTGTTGATTTCTGTCAATCAATGGTTATCATTCATTGCAAATTAAATATTAATTAATGAGTTTGATTTGCGAAAATAATAACCGTTTATTAACGAAAATCAACGGTTAAGATATGGTTATAAAAAGTTGTAAACAAAAATAGGTTATAAGCATAATCTTCCCATAAAAAATAACAAAGAAATGCAATGAAATTAATAAAAAAAAAGTAAAACTTAATATAATTTTATCAATCAGTAAAACATAATATAAATTTCAACAAACATTCAAAATTACTAAACAACAGTTTTTCAAATATCTAATGGGTTGAAAATTATCTTCTTCATTTACTATCAGAGCTATGCATATATGATTATAAGACCCAATTTTTTTTAATTCTAAAAGTAATTTTAAATTTGCATATAGAACCTAAAGTTCATGATAAAATTTCGTTTGAAATTTTTTGTAATTGATCTTGAAAATCTTGGGGTTTTTGTTTTACGTAATGAGAGTTTTCTAACCATATATGATATGCATATTTTCATTGAATATTTTAAGAAAATTTCGAATCTGAAATTTTTGGTTTAATTACATGAAAGTTTAGAAAAAAAATCAAATTTTTTTCAATCGATACATTGAAACCTTGAATTGCTTTGGGGCTTTTGAGAAACAAGCTTTTAGTTATCTATTGACACAAAAATTGTTTGAAATTATTTCCTATGGTGAAGGAGTTTCGTTCAAGTAATGTATTGTTACAAAATATAGGGTTCATATTATGAAAGTTTCAATTTTCCTTTAAATTGACATTGTTTCATTAATAAAATGAAAATTGGTTTGAGTGTTTTAGTTTTCCTGTTATTTTTTCACTGTTTCGTGACCCATAGCTTGAAAAATCACTTTTTAAACTTCCAAAAAATTTCAAAAATGGCTCAAAAATATGTTATTTTCTAGATAGATTATATTAAAATCTCGTTGGTTTGTTGTTTCTGGGTTATTTTGTGATGGAAATCGCTCAAAAATATACTCTTTTTTTTTTTTTTAGTTCTGACGAAGCTCCCGTGGCGGAACCCAATTTCGAGCAGTCAACCTACCAAAAGAAGAAGAAAACACTACAATAGAAGAATCTCAAGAAATCCTAGGAGTTAGGGTGAGATTGTGAGAGAGACATCCTATTTATATTTTTCACTAAAAAGTTTCACGAAATCAACACAATAGAAAATCTATTAAAATCGTCGGATTTTTGAATACCATGAGATTGTGATTCCATTGTTTAAAATCCTGATTGAATACTAATGGATTTAGACGGATTCTAAAATAATTCTTTAAAATCCTAATCGAATTCCACGTGACTTTTTTTCAATCCATTAAAATCATTTGAAATCTCAATCCAATACATCCCCTAAGTTGGGATAATTATCCGGTACTAAATGATGGATAATTATCGTATAACTATTAAGTTGGGCCACAATTTTGATTGACTCTGGATTTCTTGCATCAAAAGTTAGGCCACGCGCAATGGGCCAACCGTAAGTGCATCAATAATTAATTATTATCTCTAAACTCATATCACTTCAAGTAGTGAAGCTTTATTTGATGAAAATAAAAATAGTATTAATTCATTTCTATATATTTATTCATTATTATTTTTTAACTAAAATTGAATATACATATGTCATGTAATATTGGAGCGAGAGAAAGAGGTTAGAACCCAATGGATGCAGCTCAGTTGGTAATTTGGCGCTGAGTTAGTGGGGTTCGACATGTGTTCGATTCCTGCTGAATGCATTCTTGGGGAGGGGGCTGAACCTTTAGCCATCACTGCTCCCCCGCACTCCGGATTAATCTCATAGCCGGCTCAAAGAGTCGAAGCTCGTGGGGATATCGGAGGGAGCCAACTCGCCTCAAAGAAGTAATTAGGATTGGTAACTCCAAAAAAGAGGTTAGAGGATAACTGTCCCCTTAATTTTATATAAGCCTTTAGATTTGAGAATTATTTTTAATTTTTTTTAGTCATATAATTAGTTTTTGTCCCCCTTCTCAAAATTTATAGAAGCCTTTAGTTGTAATCGTCTTTATTATTTTATTTTATTTTTTGGATCATGTAGTTAGATAATTCTAATTTTAAAAAAGAATATACATTATAATTTGGTTTTCTTTTACAAAATTTTCTGACTGCACAACTCATGGTGGTTAAAAGATAATATATTTGAGGCTGAAATAAATTAATATATCTTGAATGACTTTTCAATTATGATAATTAAATGATATGATTTAAATTACATTTTTATTATAAATAAAGTCAATAGTTTGTCTCCATGTTAAAAAAAAAACCCTTCCGCTTTAAGTTACATCAAGTTTATAGCCTCTTAATAAAACAAAATAGTCTAACGTAATCAGTGGTAATCTGATTTTTACTTTAAGCAAAGACCTAAAATTCCCATGCCTTCGTCATTCCCATTAACTAAACGCACACCCACGGTTTTGTTCAATTCATAAATGGCGGAACAAATAAAATAGAAGTGCTGTTGTTCACTAAAGATTTCATGCCAGTAGTAGAACTTGAAATAGTTGAGTTTTTTTCTTCTTCAAACCTAGTAATTTGCAATCTAATGACCGCACAAAATCGTGTCTTTTTTTTTTTGTTGGTGAATAAAAATTTGTCGTCTTCTATTGCTATCTTGGAAGTGGTGCTATTAAAATAGTTTTTAGAAACATAAAAAACTAGGTGATTGGATTTATTTAAATTTAATTGAGTTGAAAAAAAAAATCAAAATATAATATTCAAACAATACGGAGATAAGATGTTTAAACTAAACCAAAATCAAGTTGACTACGTAATCAAATTCATATTTACTTTGATTGGTTCGACTTTTCGAGTGATGTGATTAAATGATCCCAGACTTTGTTTTTATTTTTGTATGTTTATTATGAAGGAAATATTGTCTCATCTATTTTTTTATACGTCGAGTAAGATAAACACATTCCCCTTACTAAAATGAAATGTATTCAATGATAGAACATCAGTTTTGAAAAGTATAGAAGAAAAACGATGCCGGTCAACTATACAAGACACGTGAAAGCATCACCTCAGAATTAAGGATAAGAGATATTTAAAGAGACTAGCATTCATGGTCAATATGGTAGTTGTTGCTTGTTGGAGGACAACACCATAAGGGTCCTTGTACGAATGCTGGTAGAGTCCAAAAAAAAATAGATATTTAAAGAGCAATAGTAATAGTACTAACCACTATCTCCGATCTTAGATTTCAGTTGCGGTTTGTTTGTCATAAAAAGCAAGATAATTGATCAGAAGCATAGGGTAATGCAAAAAATGGATATCAACCAAGGGCATGGAGCTGAAGAGTTGTTTCAGGCTCAGTCCCATTTGTATAGATATACCTACAGTTTCATTGGTTCAATGTGCCTCAAAAGTGCAGTTCATTTGGGAATACCTGACATAATCCACAACCATGGCCAACCCATTACTATCCCTGAATTGGTCTTGGCACTTCACATCGACCCTTCCAAATCTGGTTATGTATATAGGCTTATGCGCTTGCTGGTGCATGCTGGCTTCTTTGCTACAACCAAGGTTGCAAAAGATGATGATGATGAGAAGGAAGAAGTGGGGTATGATCTCACACCTTCCTCAAGGCTTCTCCTCAAAGACAGTGTCCCAACCTTGTCTCCTTTTGTAAGGGCAATGTTTCATCCGTCTCTAGTTCACTCATCAGAGTTCTTGGGAGAGTGGTTTCACACAAATGAGCTCACACCCTTTCACACTGCATATGGCACCAGTTTTTGGGACTATTTAAGCCAAAACCAAGACTTTAACATGCTCTTCAATGAAGCCATGGTTAGTGATTCCGGGATGATGAATTTGGTAATCAAAGATTGCAAATCTGTTTTTGAGGGATTGAACTCATTGGTTGATGTGGGTGGTGGTACAGGAGCAGTAGCTAGGATGGTTTCTGAGTCATTTCCTAATTTTCATTGCACAGTGTTAGAGCTTCCACATGTGGTTGAAAATTTGCCAGATAGCAGCAATTTGAAGTTTGTTGGAGGTGACATGTTTCAGTCTATTCCTTCAGCAGATGCCATTCTTCTTAAGGTATTCAAATTGTTCATCTTTGCAAAACTTTTTGTTGCATTAAGGTTTAGTTGGATTTAAAGCTTTATTAATTTGCATACAGAATAGCTAGGATAGTTTGTTTGTATACTTTGCTAGTTGTGATTTCTGAAACTTCAGGTAATAAGGTTGACTGAAAATTGATGAATATGCATCTTGGCAGTTAGTCTTGCATGCTTATAGTGATGAGGACTGCATTAAGGTACTAAAGAAGTGCAGAGAAGCTATTTCAAGCAAAGACAAAGAAGGAAAAGTAATTATCATAGACATAGTGATCAGGGAGAAGAATGATGAGCACGAATTAAAAGAAGCAAAACTCTTTTTTGATGTGTTAATGATGGTTGTGGTCAATGGAAGAGAAAGAGAAGAAAAAGAATGGGAGAAGCTCTTCTTGGAAGCTGGATTCAGTCACTACAAGATCACACCCATCTTTGGGATGAGGTCACTTATTGAAGTTTATCCTTGAATTACTCTAAAAAAATAACCTCTGTTCTCAGGAGCAGATGCAGTGATTTATGCTTTGCTTGTCTGTTGCTTCCCATCAAAGGATAAGAACATTTTGTATCCTAGTTTCTGTTTGATCTTTATGCAAAAACCTTATTCACGATTGTTACATTTCTTTATTTTGTACTATGTGTTTGGAAGATTTATGATGTAATAAAGTCGGGATGTTTACTTGTAATTGATATTAATACTGTTGATTGAGGAAATAAATACAGATTGTCTTTTGTCTTCTCGTTTATTTTAGAGTTTGTTGATTCAGATCGTTACAATATGGTAACAAAGCTCTTTTCATGGGGAGCTCTGAATGGTCTTGTAAGAAAAACATTCCTTATTATTCAATCGTGTAATTAATTTTTTAAATAAAAAACAAGAATATTCACATATTTTTTATAAAGGATAATAATTAAGTAATAACATTTTTTTAAATAGTCTCTATTTATTTGATTGAGCCTAATTTTTTTATGACTCAAAAGTGCGGAGATTTTTATCACTTACCGTATGTTGCATCGTTTATTAATCGATTTTTTTTTAGTTTCATCAATCTACTCTTTACACATAACTCGCTTCCCAAATATTTAACCCTTAGCTTAAATATAATAATTTTAAAGTTTTATAATTCTCATTCAATATGAGAATTGAAATCTTCATACATACTCTTCGATTTCTGTGTTGACGTCAATCTCCACATAACTTTTTTTAACATATGAATCCCATATATTTTCTGTTTTTACGACATAAGATTTTAATTCTCATGTAACTCGAGAATTATAAAACCCATAATTTTATGACCCAAACCTTTGCCATGGTCGGATAACAATTTAAACAAGCCCACCAACTCATCTTGTTACAACCTAGCATTCGTTGGCATATTCACAAATGACATGCATACTTTCTAACAAAATATTTATCTTTTTAATTAGAATCTTATGATTTCCCCAAAAAAATTATAAAACGTGATCTAGAACTATTCTTTATGGATTTGATATTGTAAACTAGTATATCTCTGAAAATAACCTCAATCTTTTATTCTTTCCTTTTGCGAATAGTATAATCTTGTATTCATGGAGAAGATCATTTGCTTTCATACATCTCAAAGAATTGGTACTTCAATTCATTATAAACTATGGCCCTTTCCTTCGTAAGTTAAAGCCCCTCTTGACATCTGAAACTGGTCTCCCTGATACCTATGAGAATGCAATTGCCTTGAATTATAGTCTCAAGATAATGAAGTATCATCACCAAAAAAACTGAGCAAATAAACATGGGTATTGGCCCAAAAAACTAAAGGAGCAAGTCAAGAGCAAAAAAGAGGGCTCGAAGACCAAGTTGTTGGGATATTTAAGTGTGATAAATCTCACATTGGTTGGTAATAGGCTAAGTGAAGAGTATATAAGTGAAAGGATCCATGAACCTAATGCCTTAAAATTTTGGGTTGAGATATGGTGTCAGACTCACCTGATGTACTTAAAGTAACTTAACTAATTGGTGGTGATCCCCCGTCATCAACTTCACCTTGACCCACCTGACACAAGTGACCAAAAGTCACCTCCCTTCATGACTGCTATTTCCACACTACTCACTAGGATAATAGAACTAGCTCGGGTGCTTATGAGATAGGTTGCATGAACCAAGATCAAATCCAGGTACTCTTTATTGAACACCATATTCTCACACTCTTCCTTTCTAGGAGCCCCCAATTGAGGGGTATGGTGGAGGATTGGGTTTTTATCAAAGCATATTCAGTTTGTAAACTTTGGTCAAATAAATTTAGGTGGAATCCATGTTCATCTTTCACATTGTCATTTAATTTACTTGAAGGACCATTGACCTTTCGTAACTTGGCAACCAATTGCACAACTTGCTATACTTTCCCACGCTATTTTATTCAGAACCATTGGAATTATTAATTAGGACAGCTAAAACACTAACCAAAAGAAGAGAAAATGGACCAAAAAAAAATGCTTTGCGAGGAAGAAACAAGTTTTGTATTGTAAAGTTGTTCGAATCCGATTGGGATAAACCGTTGATATCTTAAGGAGTGCCTGCTTAATGAAGGCAACATGTAATATATAATTAAATATATTAATACAAGTTAAGTATAATATTTTATTTTATATTTGAATATTAATTTCATTAATTCTTAGAAATAGACAATAATATTTTTAACGATTTTTAATTCCAACGTAAACAACTTTTTTTACTCAAATAAATAATGAAATGATGAATTCATTTAAAAATATATAAAATAACTCTCAAAGATAGCTAAGTTGACAATTGAGCTCCCAAAGTTTGCTCGAGTCAAGTGTTCAAATTCTGTCTCAAGCAAATTTTTAGAAAATTGTGGACCACCCGCTCTTCCAAAGAGGGGTAACCTTCAGGGACGTACTCCGATGAGAAGGTGATCAGAGGATGTTGAATGGGAATACCTCCAAGTTATATATCAAAAAAAAAAATCTGAATATCACTTAATCTAATATAAAATAATAAAATATACAACTGATCACCTCTTGCCCTAAGACAAACTGGTTTATGAATGGTTGAATCGCTAATTACTTATTAAATTTTCAACGAAATACAACAGAATATACAATAAATAATTTTATCAAGCTTTCCCCAAAAAACTCCATTATTCATATCAATTTAGGGAAAGCACTTTTAGTACAATGGGATTACTGACTATTGAGTGCAACAAGAGAGTTTACGCTATGTAAGTTTTTTTTTTTTTTCTTTTCTTTCCACGACAATAAAAACTGATGTGGCACACTTCCATTGATCCATTTTATCTACTAGGGGAGTACTATGAATTTTTTTCAATTTAGGATTGTAACATTGCGGGGGCTTACGAAGGTGGGGAGTGATCGTCGGTGCGAAAGGGCATGGACAAGGAGCGACTCCTGACAGATTTCCAGCGACGGGGTACATAAATGAATCGAATCAACACCCGAAAGAGAGAGATTCCAGAGACTATGCTGGTATGGGACGGTACAGTTGGGAATAACTTATAAGAATTAATTGGTACTACCTATACTAACGAGATGCATCTACTTTTCGGTAGCTCGGAACGGAAGAACTCCATAGTTAAGCGTGTTTGACTTGGGACAATTCTGAAATGAGTGACCTCATGAAAAAAAATTTGAGAAGTGTGTGCGAACGAGGACAAAGCACGCTGAAAGATCTCGTGTTAGTATGTGGAGACCGTCGTTGATCCTTGTAAGTTGTCAGACATCTTGCTAAATTAATTCTGGAGTAACTCAATCTACTATTTTAATGGGTTCAAATGAGTTGGTCCACAAGTTACAACTCAACGGTTCTATTTACTTCTTTGTTTCTAAATATTTATTATATTTTTAAAAGATATATGAAGTTGCTTTTAAAAGCCTTGTATTATTTTCTTAGATGCGTAAAACTTTTTTTTTTTTTTAATACTCTTACTCTATCCACAACTATGTATTTTCCTTTTGTTGATGAAATTAATACTTCATCCTATTTTGACTATTCCTGTATAACAAACAATAACTTTGTGCACAAGCAACTCCCAAACCATGGGCTACATCACTCAAACTAAAATTATTGTTTTTGTAGCCATAGCCCAACGAGAAAAGAAACAGTTATAACTACAAGCCCATTACACTCCCACATCTCACCAAGGGACTTTTTATATATTTTTATATGATATTTTCAACTTTAGAGCATATATCAACCCATCTATCGTTTTAGATCGTATCAATTAGAATTTCAATTCATTTGATAACTTTATTGGTCAATGAAATCGTAGGATTATATGATTTGTTCAAAAAAATCTCCATATTTGACATACATCCTCATTCCTCATACTAACTTGGCACTGTACTCAAGTAGTGATAAACGGGCAGACACAGATTAAGGGAAGATTGGGTCATTTTTAATGTTTCGTGCCCCGTCCAGTCATATGGCAACAAGTGACTTTTTTCCTCGAGTTATTCCATGCCTTGTAACTAATGGTTTAGGCCCACATTAATGATAACGTTTTATTTTTGTCACAATCAGCAATATAGCAAAATAGGAGGAGTAGAGATGTGAAAAGAACATCCCTGTACCCAGAAAGAAAAACAAAAGCGGGGAATATAATAAGTATTGATGATTAAATCTATGTTAGTTAGTATTGTCACAGTAGAGTTATTAGAACAGTTGTTGCTACATTTAATGTACATAGCTTTAAGCATAAATTAGAATATCCAAAATGGAGACAGTGAATTGTGCGTCAAAAACAGGTAGTATAATTGTAACAATCGGGATTAAGGTTTTTGCATAAAGATCAAACAGAAACTAGGATACAAAATGTTATTATCCTTTATGATGGGAAGCAACAGAAAAGCAATGCATAAATCACTGTATCTGCTCCTGGGAACGGAGATGATTTTTTAGAGTAATTCAAGTATAAACTTGAATAAGTGACCTCATACCAAAGATGGGTGTGATCTTGTAGTGTGACTGAATCCAGCTTCCAAGAAGAGCTTCTCCCATTCTTTTTCTTCTCTTTCTTTTCCATTGACCAGAACCATCATTAACACATCAAAAAAGATTTTTGCTTCTGTTAATTCGTGCTTATCATTCTTCTCCCTGATCACTATGTTTATGATAATTACTTTTCCTTTGCTTGAAATAGCTTCTCTGCGCTTCTTTAGTACCTTAATGCAGTCATTCACTACTAGAAAAGTCAATTTTTTTTATGGAATTTTTTTGTCGAAAATAAATTTTTCGACGGATTTTTCGACAGAATTCAAGTCGTCGAATTTTTCTTCGTGGCTAAATTCCGTCAAAAATTCATAAATATAATTTTATTTTTATTTATTTTATATAATAATTTTCGCGACGGAAATCTAATTCCGTCAAAAATTCATAAATTTATTTTCTTTTTTATTTATTTTATATAATAATTTCGACGAAATTAATTCCGTCGAAAATTTCCGTCAAAAATTTGGACTTTTTTAATAGTGCTTATCACTATAAGCATGCAAGACTAACTGCCAGATGCATATTCATCATTTTTTAGTCAACCTTATTACCTGAATTTTCAGAAATCACAACTAGCAAAGTGTACCCATTTTGTGGCAATTATATGTTAAATTCTGATCTTCTGCATAACCACGGGAAATGATAAGTTCGAAT